ATTCACTGCTCCTAAGAAACTGGGAAATGCCAATCCACATGGAAACTTAAAATTGGTGACAGTTCACTTAAGGCAAAAATCAAGGGAAAGTTGGAGGGGAGGAGAAGTCTGTTAGAATATTTTTAAGGATAACTTACGCTAAAAGAAAATTCAGAGGTAAAGCATCACGGGTTAATTCACATTACATGTAGTCTTTGAAATACAGTGTGGGAATCATCTCACCAGTCATAAATTCTTCCCAATAACCTGTCCATACCTAAACTGACTTACTGACCTCACTGTGTAGACAACTGAACAAAACACAGACAGCATTATCCATTAGCGCAGATCTGCAGTATATTCAAAATTCAAATTTAAATGAAATTAATCCCACTCTTAAAATATCAACTTTTTTCCTTCCCTCCTTATAAAGTGAGCCTAGATCAGCTGGATGCTGCAGCTACATTCAGATTTACTTAGAGACATGCCAACCTTTTAGTTAGGATTCATTAATATTGGTCAGAGCTGTAGGTCCCACTGTTTGTCAGTGGTGGCAGTAGGGACTGCTACAGCAAGAAACTCAACTTCCAACTAGTGAGTGAGAGGTAAGAATTAGATTATAATGGGATTAGAGTGTAGCAATTACTATCAAAGGATTGTTTCATCTTACCTATTGTACGTTAGCATCTACCTTCTTTTATGATCCATCAGAGATTTGCAAAGAGAAAGCCATTATGGGAATTAGTTTCAGAAAAATAATGCTGTACAGAACCCTTTATGAACCAAAGCATGTTCCCCTGCAAACATCTTCTAATTGAGAAGTTTGACCTGCATAGGATCAGACCTGACCTACAGAGAGTTCAAATCAAGGTACAGAACAGGAGTTCAAGCAGGCAGGAGCCCAGCTTTCTCTCTCTGGGAGCAAGAAAAGCCATGTGAAAGCAAGCAGATTGTCCACACCATTCCACAGGGTTTTTACCATAGCTGCCTCCATGGCAGGCGTTTCCTCTTAGGCTCTTTAGCCAAGTGGAAAACTGGGGCTTGACAATTGTGAGTCTGAACTTTGCAATGCCTTCCTATTTTTGAACAAAATGCTGTGAGCAAAAAAGCCATATTCCTGAGAAAGCAGCATGCTGGTCTGAGACACAGCACTAGGATTTTCCACGTCCCTTTCCTTATCCCTGAACAGAACTGCAGCTCGGCCAACCTGCACAACTCTCACTCATGGGGAAGGTAAGCTACACATGGCTGACAGAGAGGGGGATCACCTCTAATACAGAAATCTGACTCTAGAAACTGATTTAAGTACTTGGATATTTCTACCCTGCTACAGAAGGACTCCACCACTGGGTTCTCATTCCACAGTGCATTGTGGAACTTCTTGGTTTGCAGCAAGGTGTGTTTAGCAGAAACACCTATTATATCCAAAATCATCACCTCATTTCACTCTAAGAGCTCAGCTCATTGATTTGCCCCCAAGAAGACAGTGCTCAGTACAGCTGGATAAGGAGAAGAAATAATAAAGAAGTCCAAGGAATAATAAAGGAATTCAGTGCCCAGCTTCTCTTGCACTTCTCCAAGTCTCAGCTTTAGTGATTCCTGAGACCTTCAGCTGAGCAAAAGGTTCTTGTACTATCCGGGCATATCCAAGAAAAGCTTTTGTAGTACAGAACTAAATGCTACATATTTCCAACAAAATGTGTTCAACACACACCTGTTGCACATGTAGATGAGACGTCAGGTTTTTTGTCAGGTTTTATCCTTTCAAATTCTGAGCTGCATTTTTATACTGAAATTTACAGTTCACACCAAAAAAAAAAAATCAAAAAAAAAACCAAAAACAACAAGGCACAACTTTATAGCAGGTTTTATATAGAGAAAATGCTTGCACTTTGACAGACAAAACTCAGGTGTGATAAGCTAGCAAGGAAATTGAATTAAATTAAATCATGCATCTTTTGAGAAAGGGTTTGTTATCTCTAGTCAATCCAGTATCCATGAAGACACTGCTTTAATTCTCTTACTTTGCAGTACTTTATGCAGAACTCAAATCTGATCATAAGCCATGTGAATTCATATATTCACCTCCTTAAAGGCATCTGAAGCAACAAAGTCTATAGTTAAGGGGCAACTCTGGAAGTTTCCTGACTCACCAAGTGTTTTTTCTCATTCAGTGTTTTATATATCCAAGTACTTTTGCACCAAAATAGATACATACTGTTTTAAAATAAATCACTATTTAATCTGCAATTGATGCACAGCAATAGCAAAGAGCAAAACTTTAAAAGCTGCAGAAATACAACTAGACAAACAGCAGTCATTAAGCTATAATATCTATGATTAATACATAGGCTGTTAAATGATTAGTAATAAGATTAGCTTGCATCTCTCCTGCCCAATAGATACTTAAAGTAATTGCATCTTTGCAAACTGCATTATCATCACTTCATGTTCTTTATGATGTCATGGGACAGCAAGGCAGACTCAGCACTTTCTCCTGAGACTGGTTTGGCTTTTTTTCCTATAGGAATCAATTCTCTGGCAACACTAGACAGTTGGATATGGAGGCTGTGAGGACTGCTCACAAAACATCTGTCTAGAAACATTAAAAATTAAACAGCATTTTGCATCACTGTTTAAAACTTCCCAAATTAAAGATGGCAAAGGAATAACACCAAAATGCAAATGGCTTGATGCCAACAATGGTTTTAATTATATCCTAGGAAATCTAATATACTTGGAAAAAGCAACAGAAACCCTTTACTTTAAAAAATGGCATTTCAAAAAGGCGGGCCTTTTCTTCTCTATCCTCTTGACACTGTGATCAAAATGGTAGCAAATTTGCATTTATTGCTAGGTCTGCTGCAAACTTACTGCAGTCAATGGGACTCTTCACAAGGTCCAGCCAGCACTCAAGCAGCCTCACAATCAGCTTGGGGGAGTGATAGGAACTATATATTTATTTGGAATGAGAGCAGTGGAATTTCCTACTATGCCAGATTATTAATCATGACTGAAGCATAAACATTTATTTTTTTTTTTAGGAATAGGTCTGTTTAAGGTATAGACTTATGATTTCAAACATAAGCTTGCTTAAGTCCAAACTGCTGGTTCTTATGCAAGAGAGAGGTAAGATAGATGGGAGTCAGGTGACAGCACACACTGCCCAATTATTCAGTGGTAATACTTCTTGCCTAAAATAGTGTCAGCTACTGCTGGTACTGCACCTATCCATGTGCATGTGCCAGAATATGGGTGTGGTCCTTGAGAGAAAGAAAGGGGGGGGGGGGGGGGGGAAGTTCTTCCAGTACATAAGAATATCTGCAATAAGCATAAATAAATAAATGTGGTTGCTATTATCTAGGAAACCTTTATCTAATGAATACAACTTCAACCAATAAACTAATAATACATAAAATGGTTCTATCTGCTTCAAGTGGCTTCAAACCCTCTCCTGTATTCTATCAGACAAGAATCATCAGCATGATTCAGTGACATGAAGCTCATCACATGGTTTGAAATGCTTCAGGGAAATATGGGGCAGAGTCTGTGCCCTCCCAAAATCCCCAAAGCCTAATGTGCATCCAGGAACAGTCTGACGAGGCAGTATACACACATCACACATGGCTTTAAAAGCTGCATCTCAGTTTCCTATGTCTCAGTTAAACACAGAAGCTGCAGCTGGAACATTAAGGGACTGGGTTTCCTCAGCCACATGGATTCCTGCACTGAGGCTGCTAATGCCAAATGCATCTCATAGATAATTAATCTCCACTATTCCTTTAAAAAAACCCCAGTGTTACATAGCAGTCATATAAATTGTAATACTTAGAACTTTGATGTATCATATAAGCCAGTATAATTCACAGTATAACAGAGGTCAATGAAAGGTTTCAGGTTAGTGTTGAGGCAAGCAAGCTTTTTCAAAGTGTTGGAAGCACTGCTACTTCACTATTATTTCCTGAAGATGCTGGTTTACAAAACCCCAAGAAGTCATCTCAGCTATAGCATTAGAACCTACTTCAAATAGAGCATCATCAAAATGGTCCAGTGACTGCAACTAAGAAAGTTATCTGAATTCAGCAATCAAATGCTTGCAACAAACAAAAAAAACCTACAAAAAAGTTTTGATATGCTATTGTTACATCCTCTGAAACAAAAGTATACAAATGATTTGGAGATAGTTTGTAAGAGCCACGTTCTTAGCCACACATGCACACACAACTTGCTAAGAAACAGAGTGGAGTGTGTAAATCTTTGTTTCCAGGCAAATGCATGGATCTATAGGCACACACAACATATCCCCAAGAGCCTGTCAGCTTTAGTCTGGAGACAGTTAAGCTTAAAAGGGGTCTTTTCACTAAATTTACCGGTTTCTGAGCATATACACCTGCATACTGCAAACACACAGTGGGAGTCTACAGCTCTTAAACCTAAGCTCCAATGCTAGATACAGGTTTCCAAAGTATTGTCTCCCTTTTGGTTTTGAGAGTTGCGGACTCACCCACACCCAACAAAACTATTTTACACCGCACGCTCTTAAAAGTTTGCCCTCTCCTCCCAACAAAAGCGCACACAAAGAAGAAACATCCCCGTCCAGCCGCCAACAAAACTCAGCGCACAGACAGACGCGCTCCTTGGCAAGACGCTCCATCTTTTGAAGCAATTCGAACGCAGCCGGCAATGAACCGGGGCAGGGCAGGGCTTGGGGCTGCCTCGGGACCCCGCACCCCCCGCGCTGGCCCCGCATCCCCCCGCGTTCCCCGCAGCAGCAGCAGCGTCCCCGCTCCGCCGGGCCAGGTGCGCCCGGGATGCGCTCCCGGCGCTCGCTCGCCGCCGATGCGAGCGGTTCGGCAGCGGGCTCGGTCCCGGTTCGGACCCGGCTTTGGCCAGCGGGCTCGGTCCCGGTTCGGTCCCGGCTTTGGCCAGCGGGCTCGGTCCCGGTTCGGTCCCGGCTTTGGCCAGCGGGCTCGGTCCCGGGTCCGCTCCCGGAGCGCTGCGCTCCCGCTCCGCGCACTCACCGCTGAGGACGCGCCCGGCTAGCGCCCCCGGCCCGCACAGCACCGCGGCCGCCAGCACGGCCAGCCCCAGCCCTCCTGCGGCCCCCATGGCGCTGCCCCGCTGCCGGCTGGCTCCGAGAGGCGCTCAGGGCAGGGCGATGCCGCCGGGGAGCGAGAGCCGCGCACTGAGCTCCGCTGCTGCCCTCCGCCACCTCCCCACCGCCCGCCGCCCGGCATTTATCGGCTTCCCCCGGGGAGGGACCGCCCCCGCACCGCCCCCAGCCCCAGCGACAGCGCCAGCCCCTGCCCCCAACCCCTATCCCTGCCCCAACCCCTATCCCAGCTCCAGCCCAAACCCCTGTCCCAGCCCCAAACCCTGTCCCAGCTCCAGCCCCTGATCCAGCCCTGCCCCAATCCCTGTCCCAGCTCTAGTCCCTGCCCCTGTCCCAATCCCTGTCCCAACCCCAGCCCCTGTCTCACCTCCAGCCCCTGCCCCAACCCCTTATCCAGCCCCTGATCCAACCCCTTTCCCAACTCCTATCCCAGCCCCAGCCCCTGATCCAACCCCTTTCCCAACCCCTTTCCCAGCGCCTGCCCCAACCCCTGTCCCAGCCCCAACGCCTGTCCCAGCCCCAACCCCTGATCCAGCCCCTTTCCCAACTCCTATCCCAGTTCCAGCCCTTGCCCCAAGCCCTGTCCCAGCCCCAGCCCCTGATCCAGCCCCAGCCCCTCCTGCTCAGCCCCTTCCCCGCAGAAGTTCGGGCACAGGTTCCCGGTGTGCGGTCGTTTCCCACTCCTGGTTGGAGGCTGCAGAGCAGCGGGTCCCTCCCAGCCCCGTTGCCAGGTCATTTAGGGTTAGTCACTGTCCCCGTGGCTTGGGAGTGTGATCCATACCCAGGTTTGGGTTTCATAGCTGTTAATGGCTTTGTAGACCTTCCTGGTCCGTGTTTTCCCTAAGAAGAATAAAAATGTCCTGTTGCCAGCTTGGAAATGTGGGAATATATGTACACAGGTGTATACCTGGAAAGCACATGCACACAGTAGACTATAAGTATATACACTGGAAAGTCCCCTTTGCCCATTGCCCCAGAAGATATTGTAGTTAAACCCATATTGCTGTCACTCCAAAAATGCACCGGTAATTCTCTGGATCTTTTCAAGACCTGCTCATTCTTCAGAGTCGCGCTGAGGTTTTATCAACAAACACAGTTCAGAGATTTCTGTGATTACTCGTGTACTTCGTTTACTTTGCTTTTAAATGTGATAGATCACTGCAGATGTGTTTAAGGGACATCTTGTATGCAAATTACTAGATGGTTTACCAGTTAATTTCATCTTTCTCAGAACTCAAAGATCATATATGGCATATTGTTAAGTCATTTTCCCTTTGGATGGTTATAGCCAGGTTTAGAAGTCAATACATCTCAGATTATTATGGATTTTAAAACATTTGATGGATTCCTAGCTGCCTTAAAACTACCTAGGATCAGTTTTTTACTAAAAAAAAGCCCCAAATCCTTGAGGTTCATAAGTAGCATTGGAAATTTTTTTTAAGCACTGTTGTGTTTTGCTGCCAACTTTTTTGATTTAATAGCAGAGTTATTTGTTTGTTTGACTGGTACAGATTTCTTCCAATGAATTTATTCTGCCAGGCAATAACTAATTTTTCTCTGTGTATATAGGTAAGTTGAGCAGTGATCATACTGAACAATAAATTCTGAAATGGAGAAGTTACCTTGAATCTCCATGGCATCTGAGATTCAACCTTTCCTTCATATAAAACTGATGCAGAAAGAGAAGAGCACAATCCAGACCTAGGATGAATACAATGAGAATTTTAAAGCATTTTTGGTAATCCATATGTTTTTAACCTTTTTCTAAGTTGCTGATATGAGAGAGTTCAAGTTTCTTCGAATAATCTTGGATCTCAAGTGATGTCCAGCCAAAGGAGGTGGGAGAATTTAGAAAGGTGTTACTGGTTTTCTGGAATGTAGAGTCTCTTACTGTCTCAGAAATGATGAATGGATAATAAGGGACAAACCCCTCTAAACTGATGGGAATCATGTGTTGAATACCACCCATAGATACTGAAAAGGTCCTCTATCTTTTTCTTACACCCTTGCAAGTTTTCTTAGCTTGCCAGCCCCTAAAGTCATTTTGAAATGCAGCAGTTGTATATTTGCACAGCTAAAGAAAGGCTCCAGGCATCCACACCACCTCTTTTCCAATGAAATTAGCAGAATTCAAGAGAACGATAACACATTCTGTCTTTAGTAAATGATGCATCACTTTTCTGACATGCTTTGTGCTGGTTTATTAGCCAAAATTGTATACAGTGTTGTGAAGTGACTGGGCAACGTAGAATTTTATCAAATACAATAATTGCATTCTAATTCTGAAGCCTAACAATACATATTTCAAGATGTTGGTACCCAGAATATGAATAACATTCAGTGCATTAAAATTTTATAATTAATTTGGCTTAATCCTAACAACTTGTATGTCCATTAAATTACTCTTTGAAGAAAGACTGTGTTTTCTCTGGCATCATTTATTTGCCATGTTGCAAACTTTTATTTCCTCATTTAGAAAATAAGAAATTGGAAAGAGAACAGTTTAGCTGAATATGAAGCTTTCAAAATGTTGCTATCTTCAACTCAGGGCTAGGTACTTTTCTAAGGTAACTTTTCTTCTGAGTGAAATTATTTAATAAATCAAAGAAGAACATTGGTAAATTGAGCAGTGTTGTTTCAAAAAGTAGGCAAATATTTTTTTAATAAATATGAGCATTAAATGCTTCTCAATGCTTTATGAATACTTAAAAGACCAGATTTGGAAAATTTTAAAGGATTACTACTATTCAGTATCACTAATCAGTTTTCAAGTAAAGCTAGAAGAGTAAAAAAAGTACATTAAGTTGGAATAGTTGCTCTTTGCAGTAGAGTTCCTCTACTTCGTGATTCCCCAAAGTGGCAGAGCTCTATACTCTACTTTCATGAAATTCTGTTTAAAATCTGACTTACAGTTGTTTCCTGAGTTCATTTGTCAGCAATGAATATTTTCTTTTTAGTTTTCTCACTCATATGTAAAATCCTTCTGGCATTTGCCCATGAGTTTAGTCTTTGGAGCTGCCCTGGTGCACAACTGAAAGTAGGAGGAGAAAGAGTGGCTTGCACATGGGTAATTTATTAGATAACTTTGCTAGAACTCCATCAATTTGATATCTCGTTGGCTTACAAAAATGGTTTAAGCTACTTAGCTCCTTCTGCCAAGTTTCTTGGGGCCATAATGGCATTATATTTTTAATGGGTTATTTATTCTGTAGCTACGGAAAAGAATTCACTACTGATGTTAAAAACATTTAAGAAAATATAAGATGTAGTAGAGGAGGGCAGGGGATGGCAAAAAAATTTAAGTTTCCTTCACCCCTTTTGGCATCAACTGAGGTAGCATTCACCCATAAGTTTAATGCAAGTCAAAAGAAAAATAAATAAATAAATAAAAGGGGAACAGGAGAGGAGAATGGAACTGTACCATTATTTGGTATTCAAGTGCCTTCAAAATTTATGTCCACCCTGCACAATGTGGTGTGGCTTAGAAATTCCCAGACTACTTGGATCTCAGGTAGCTACTGGTTTGCCTAGCTGGGCCCAGTGGTCCCCCGGTTCCCCTGGCAGCGTTCCCACCTGGGGCTGTGCAGCTCCCAGGACAGCCAATTCAGCACTGCCTCGGGTGTTTCTGCAGCGTGCTGCATTGCACAGCACAAAATGCCACTGTGCCTGCTGAACGTGCAATGCAGCAGGACTGACAGCTACAACGAGCTCTGCCAAGGAGCACCAAAGTAATTGAATTTCCTTCTAGTATAATCCATTTAGATGTAACATATAGCAGAAGTAGCTTTAAAAAAAAAAAAAAGAAAAAGAAAGAACAAAGCGGTTTAGAGAAACAGGATTTCTTAAAGGCCACAGGACTTTTTTTATATATCAGCACAAAAATTTTAAGTTCACAAATTTTTTTAATATCTTGCATCTACTAAAATGACATGCTTATCCCCCTTAACGTCCCATTAAATCTAGTTCCTCAGCAAACTCTTCATGGATAGAGGCCCAAATTATTAATATCTCTCAGGCTTGGATCAGACTAATCAGTAATGGAAGTCTGCTTGTTAATTACGCCTGATTCTCAAACCAGCAGCAATTCTAAGTCAGCAGCAGTTCTGTCCCAAACTGAGATAGTAAACTGAGTTTCAAACTGCCAAAAAGAACATTTTGACAACTTTAGAACTTTACTACGAAAACATATTCAAGGCAAGGAGGTAAATGAAAACAACTATTGTTCAAATTTTATTTTTCTGGGTAAAAGTAGTTGTTCACAGGAATTAACAGCTGAGTCAAATGTCTAGCCCTTTCTTTCCCTGTCTTCTCAGTGGAAGCAACAAGTGCATAGCAATATTCTCTTATGAGATATGCCCAGCTTCCAAGTCCAGCTGGTCTCTACTGGAGGAATTTAACTTCTATCTTTGGATGATAACAAGCATGTGCATATCTTTATTTGATCCTTGACTTGAATGAGAACTCAAGCCCTGGTTATTGGTGATTGTCAAATTCACACAGGAAATTTCTGAGAGTAAAAGTATTGAGATTAATATTCCTCTTTCATAGTGTTATCCTGTTTTCTCTGCCTACCAGAGGTGATGACAGCTATGTATTACAGCCACTAACAGTATTTACGTGTCTTGTACCTTGTATGAAATATGTACTGCACATTTCCCTCTTGCTGTGACCCTTGTGATTGTTTAATCTGATTTTGTGCTTATTTTCTCCTAAAAACTTTCTCTGTTTCTTAAAACAAGACTACTGGGCCAACACACCCATTCTTTCCTTCTAAACTGCTTTCAGGCATTTGAAAAGAAAATGTGATTTAGAGGAGATGCCCTAGCCAATAAAGATGACTCAGGTCTGCCCAGCAGTAGAGATCACCTGACAGCCTCAGGATCTTTCCTTTCCATGTGGAACTGAGCTGTGGGTTGTGTTTTTCTGTTTCTTCTTTCCCCTGGAGGCATTTGTACCTACTGACAGAAAGGGTTCAAGGCTGTGGAGACAAAAGGAA